GTGAGAGCGTGGTCCTTCCCCGGTCGTGCCGACCCATTCGTGCTACAACTATACTACTAATATAGCTGCAGCATGGCTCTACCACGTGATAAAATTTGAAAAATAAAATCAAATTATATATATATATATATATATATATATATATATATATATATATATATATTAAAATTTGACAGCTCAAATTTTCACAAATACACATTTTGTGAAAATTTCAGCTGTCTACCTGTTACGGATCATGATGAGGTATACTGACATACCGATCACAGACTTACTACGTAATAGATGCTTACTAATAGGGTTACCCTTCGTGTACGGAACCACAAGATTGAATGAAACAATAACACATTGGCCTTTTATTTCATAAACTGTTTTCTAGATGGTATAACTCTTTTTCGTCTGTGGAAGTACCACACTTTTGCCTATTTATGTCGGCAAATAACAGTGCCTACACTGTTGGGTTTCGGTTTGAAAGATATAGAGAGTCAGTATAATTACAGGGCATCCCTTCCCGACTCTGCCGTTCATATCGGCAAGTAGATTTGTTTTGTCACTCTTTCCTCGTTCATTCTTTCTACATAACCAAAAGGTTTATCGAACGTTTATCGATCAAATTGACGATATATTGAAATAGGCCAGATTAGTGCCTATAACCGACGAGCATCTATGCGTAGATATTTGGATGTGAAGAAGGCGAGAGAGGTGTGTCAGGATCGTGCCAAATGGAAGTCCGTAGTCTCTGCCTACCCCTCTGAGTGACAGGTGTGAGTGTTTATGTATGTATTATAATCACAGGCTGTGAGGTTTCCATCTTAGTCTATAACTATTTATACCAAGATTCTGACTGATTGCCTTTGCGTAAATTCAAAATGCATGTAAAAATCACTCTTATGATGTAAGTATATTATACATTTATGATAATTAAGCTTCTTTAGACTTTTTTTATTTATGTATATAAATAATAAGGATATCCATAAATAAAAAAGATAAAAGTAAAAATAATAAAAATAAAATTTTCAACGGGGTAGAGCCATGCTGCAGCTATATTAGTAGTATAATTTAGTACGAATGGGTCGGCTCGACCGGGAAAGGACCACGCTCTAACAGAATACCAGCGTAAAATAGCAGCTTAATGCTGCTGTATTTCGTATGGTGAGTGTAGACAACCGGAGAAATTTTTACTATAAAAGAGGCATTTCATCTTTGTCCTCACGGCTGATAACGCATCTGCATTTTGATTCGCAAACGAGGATAGATGTAGATGTCTATGGGCCACAGCAACCACTTACCATCAGGTGGACTGTGTGCTGGCTTGTCACCTTTATCCTATTTAAAATAAAAAAAAGTTACGAGAAAAATAGTCTACTTGTGACTATCTTCTTGTCACTTCTTCGCACAAGGTCTCGCCGTAGAAGAGAAATGTTGAAGAGATGGCGTAGCAATTTGACTTTCAAAAAAGTGCTTTGTAAAAGCCAATTTTGAATAAAAATATTTGACGAAACGGCGAACACGGTAAATACGGTTTTCCTTATTTTATCCTTAAAATTAATATGTTTATTACATAGGTCAGTGTTATTGAGTCACTATTAGAATGTTTTAGCTGATAGTTTTAAATGTTTGCGCGCCAACGGCAGACATGTTTTAGGACTTAGCTCCGCGTGCGTTCGGAAATCGAAAAATTATTGTTATTAAAACAATCTTTTAATAAAAAAAATATGTATTAACCACGTTTGAGTCAATATTTTTTTTTTAATTTTTATTAGATTTTCAAGAGTCGATTCGCAGATTATATTTTATTCAAACAAAATAAACAGCTGTGATTTATTGTGTGATATTCAAAACATGATTTTGCTTTAAAAACCGTTTACTAGTCAAAACGAGGCCAAATTATTGTTAAAAATTAAATGTGAATAATTAATAAAAGTTAAGTGTTAAACTTGTGAGTGAAACAATGTCAAAGTCGCTTCAACGATAAAAAGGTCTTAAGTGGTGGTGATGAATCAAGCATGGAAAAGAAGATTTTGTTGGGTAACACGAGGCAAGCTTTCAATATTATGGGTACGTTCATTATTACATTCTATATGTATTATAATATGTGAACAAACACTTTCTAAATGTTTTCTTATGTTTACCCGGGTAGGTAGGTACTACACATCAAATAAAGCTAATTATACTGATTTTTAAACGTTTCATTTGAATTATTTTTAATTTTCGACATTTCTGGTGCTTTTCAGCTCCACTTACTCCGTGACTATAGGTGCTGTAAAGCAGCCGAAGTTTTCTTAGTTAAAAAAATTGGAAAATCGAAAAGTGCACACCTCGAACGGGGACGGCTTACAACAGTGACATTCAATGGGCTTCCTAAGGGTTAAAATCTAAAGCTAATAAAAAATAAACAAAGTGATAAGTTCAGTTTTTCGAAAGATATCTTGTTCACATCCATACCGTTCAACTGACGTCCAGGAGAAATTATTTTCAATTAACTTATTTTTAATAATAATTGAAAATATATATCCTTATAACTATGTCTTTTGACGAAATTATTTGTACTTTTTTATTATATAAGTGCAATATAAAACTGGTGGAAGTGATTTAAGTTGAGTGCATCGCGATTCGGTGACAACAGAGTAGGTAGGTATTACATCTCCGCTTCGCGTTCGATGTGTGCACTAAGATAAATTTAACGCAAACAAATCCGTAGTATTAGTTTTATTCAAACACTTTCTTTCATCTTAATCTTTATTATAGCTCCATCACTAAAGTTTAGGTAGCCGCCGTATCTACTGTCTCTTTTTGGGAGTTAGTTTTACATAATTGATTTATAGAGAAAACATGTTAAGAGTTAGAGATTTATTACCTATAGTTTTAACTAAGTTAACTTATTTTGCCTCTTAAGTACTATTTATTTTCTTTTCGACGTTTTCATTTTTTATTTTTCTCCTGAAATATTTTATTTACTATTAAGGAAAGAATAACAAAATGCGGTCCAACATAAAATAAACAAATAGGTATATGTACCTAAAAATATTATCGCTTATTTTAACTTTTTTTTTCATATCCCAGAAAAAGCTCTTGTGCGTTAGTCCTATTCTTATCGTACGCGCATATTTCTTTTCAAAGTAAACTCTGACTTGTATTTCCTCCCCATGGACACAATATACCTAAATATATAGCCATGGACAACCACGCTGTAGACTTATTATAGATACTAGTTGGCTTAATGGTTGTTTTAAGAAATTCTTCTGTTGTTTATTCCCTCACTATCTATATAAAATGCATTGAAGTATGATGTACATTGTAATGTGCATGGTATGGCTTTGATTTAGTTTCGGCGTCGTTTAAAATGTGCACAGTGCTCTATTTTTTTTGTTACACTTTGAGTTAGTGATTTCGACATTTTTTTATTCAGATTCTAATTCCTGGGTCCCTAGACTCTACTCAGACATGGTTACATACATCATATTATTCGAAAAGGTCTTGCATTACTGTAGTCTAGTCTATTTTTAAAAATAGACATAAAAAACAAATGAACAAAAGCGTCATCTTTTGACTTACAATGAAACGCAATTTCTTTTTTACTGTGTTGTAATGTAATATAGCACTCTACCAACAGATGTCGCTGTTATAAAAATAAAAGAAAATGGATGTTATATTTTCGCGAGGTCAAAAAAATAAGTAATTTCATTAATTTTTATAATATTATAACATATCATTAATATAACTGGCAAAGACTGACCTGAAGAACTTATACCTCTCCCGTTTTATGCCTTCCATTAACGAGAAAGATCCCATTCCCAGCTGTGAATTTTTACGGACTGTTAAAGAATAATAAATAATTATTTTATAGTTAGAACACAGAATAAATAATAGGTTAGAAGTAGTATGTTTTTGAAGTACGCAATATGTTAAATATTATGATTTCAGCAATATTGCAAGTTTATGCAAAGTATGTCAGCGACAGGAAATGATAACATATCAAAGCAGTTTCCGCCCGGCTGCAACGCTACTACCTTAAATGCTAGAATATAATATTACGAGTTCCTAAGTACTATATGCAAAATGATACACATTGCACGGTAATTTTGTAAACTGCAATTATTTTAAATGCGATATAGCAAAAACGAGTCACTATTTTTATCATGACTTAGGTACCTACGTGAAGTCCAGTATTGGAAGCAAAGTTATTTGAATGCTTTATTATCCACATTTGAATTGACAGCAATTCTCCTTTACTCCATAACCCAGCAATAGACCTATTTCTATTATATTTTAGACTACTGTCAACCTGACGGTAATCGGATACTTTGAACCACAGACACCTGTCTTCGATTAACAATCAAAATGCAGATCCGTTGCCATCCTTAGTTCTTGGGAGTGAATGCATCTGTATAGTTTCTTTGAAATTGATTAATGTTACAAGCAGGAGGATAGTTAGGTCGATGTGAAAACATATTTCTCAGCACCGTACGCGCAGCACGGTGCAGCGCAGTATGGCGTAGCAGCGTACGGTACTGAGAAATGTGCGTTCACCAATGAAAACTAGCCTTGGCTGCTTCGTTGGTGTAGTGGTAGTAAACGCTATTGCTGATCATGACGTCGTGGGTTCGAATCCCGGGTCGGGCTAAAATGAGTTATTAAGTTTTCCTGTCAAGAAATTCTCAGCAGCTTCGAGTCAGGACGTTGGCGGTGTTTCACCCCCGTACCTCAGAAAGCACGTAAAACCGTGTAGGTTCTGTGCCTGGTATCTTTCCGATCGTGTCGAATTACCGTCCCATTGGACTATAGGAGTGAGGGAATAGTGATTGGTGCACCTGTGCTTGCACATAAGTTGGTCACTATAATCCTGTCCTGAGCAGAGATAACTAGTCTCCCTGGAGACTGAATGCCGTGACCAAAGTTCGGTCTGGAGGACATTATTAAACAAAAGTTTTAAGAATTCTTCACATAAAATAAGTAAATGCATAGACGAAGTTTTTAAATAAGACTTATTCATTGGCCACCAGGCGGAGCTAGTGGCGGCGGTGAGAAGACGCGGCCGCGGCGAATGCAGCGATGACGAGGAAGACTTGGGACTACCACGAAGTCCTCCAGCCTCGCCCCCCACCGACAAAGCTGATAAGGTCAGTATATACGGGGGATTCATTACGGGTTTATTAATAACACTCAAACTTAGTGTTTTCAAATCTAAACTAGTTTATATTCTACCATGATATCTATCTATTACCGTTATATCCATTTTACATTATTATATAAACCAACCACCACTCTCGCCATAAACTTGAAAGAGTGATTTCACTTTATATTAAACTAGCGATCTGCCCCGGCTTCGCACGGTTGATTACTGGATCTCGACAACAACGCCATCTACCAGGTTCAATTGTAAATCTAAACCATTCTATAATCTCGGTCCAGCCGTTTAGGAGAAGTTCAGTCACATATACACGGACAAAAGAATTATATGATATACAATATGTATGTATTATACACATAATACTTACTTTTGAATCGCATCAAAATCCGCTGCGTAGTTTACAAGAGCTAAGCGTATATACGGCGGGAAGCGACTGTGATTTAAACTATGTTGAGATAATTTTTGAATAATTTTCACAATACGCGAACAACCCTGCTTCGATCACGACCGGCAGCAATTAAATTGTTAATTGTGATTTTAAGTACTGTTTACCAAGTGCTCGGCGATGAAGGAAAATATCGTGATTAAACATTGAGTTATAATTTACATTATAAGTCAATGTGATTAAAGCTGCAGGTCTGAGAAATAATAAAATATTTCAAAGACGTGAAATCCGTCAACACGCATTGGGACAGCGCGGCGGATCCTTCCTTGCCCTAAAACCCTTTTAGATGCCCCATGTAGTATATTATCTATGCTTACAGAACTGAGAGAAGGCTTGTGCCCAGCAATTAACTTTACATTTATTATGTTTTAACGATGATAAAATTGACTGCTCCTTTTTCTTACCATACAGCTCCATCTATCTCAGTTACACGTAAAGTTGCCGTTTTAATACAATTTACAAAATGCATGAATTACAACATAGATGGCACTACTAAGCAATTTATAAATTGTGAATAATAATAAACTCAAATTTTATTTAGATGCAGAATATAGATAATAATGAGATAATATTTTTTTTTGTCAAAGTACAATATCTATGTTCATATCTTTAATACAAAAAATCGTAAAGAAACGAACTAAATATATTGCCGTTATATGTACCTACTTCGTTTTCGGAACCTTAGGCCCAGAATAAATAATTCTCAATTAAGGTTACGTGGTAGAGCCACGCTGCAACTATATTATGGTTTAGCACGAATGGGTCGGCTCGACCGAGGAAGGATCACGCTCTCACAGACTACCAGCGTAAAATAGAGAGTGTAGAGAACCGAAGACCCTTTTACTGGAAACGAGGCATTTCACCTCAGGGATGACTTAATCGAGGATAAATGTAGATGTCTATGGGCCACAGCATTCATTTACCATCACGTGAACTGTGTGCTCGTTTGTACCCTTTATTCTATAAAAAAAATGTAAGAACTTTGAACCTTAATTACTTTTTGTATAAGTATAGTTTTTCTAGCCATTTAACTTGATTATAATAAGTTCAGTGGCCTTAGACACAAGTTTTGACGCTTACGTTTACGTATCCTCATGACTAAAATTTTATGGAAATATGTCACCCGATTGCAATACGAATTCGGAGCAATAGAATACCGATAATAAGTTAATAAAATGCCGATGCGTTTTCACCATTGAGGGCGAAGGTGGATATGAAACAGCAGAAATACAAAACAGCTGTATTAAGCTGCTATTTTACGCTGGTGAGAGCCCGGTCCATCTCAGTGGAACCAATCATTTCAGTTAATACCATAATATAGTTGTGGCTCTGTCTGCATGGCTCTATCTTTAGTCTAGATCTATAACTGGAACGAATGACAGACACTCAATAAATCCACGAGTCCATCCCACATAACTTTCACATAATATTATCCCAATCTAAATGAGCCTATTATTAAAAATAGCCTTGTCTCCCCTGCCTTTTGTTATAATTATTATTATTCCATTAGTTTTTTATTATTTCTAAATATTTTGTAATTGTAGTAGTATAGTAATAATCAAAGTTACCCTTTGATTATTACTATCTTTTATTTTCTTTTGCATGGTGCATAATAATATATAGTTTTAAGAGAATAGTAATAATGATATACCTACGTGTGTATGAATAAATAAATTTAAAAAAAAACTACGAGTCTACCATTTAAAAGAACATTTTGATGTATAAATCTTGTAAGGCACTAGTTAGTACTTATATTAGCACGCATTGAGAAGCAGTATGCGTCAACCTCGAAACTACTTTCACTGATGCATCCTACAGTGCAGGTAACACGACCATGTTAAATTATTTATCGTTTTAGAATAATCTCCCTAATCTGTGGCTGTACTGTCTCTACTTTGTTAATAATTTTTATAACCTTTGTTAACATTTATAGTGTATGTGAGAGTTCTTATTGATTGTGCCTATTTATTTGATTAAGAGTGTATGTAGGTATAAATATGTAAAATTTTAGGAACAAAGGAAAAAAAGTGTACGTGTACTTATTTACGCACCTAGGAAGTTATACTTCTTTAGCGTAACAAAACAAAAAACTTGAGAGACAATTACCCACTGAAGTTGTCGCTTTTAGGTGTCAGTGTGTGCGCGCATCTTAATAACTTCATGGTGTCGTTTTTAGGTGTCGGTGTGCACGCCCATCGTAAAATATTCACTCTAATTATTTTCCTAAACGCCCTAAAGAAGTATAACTTTAAAAATAACTTTTAATAAAAAGTAAAAGCTGATTTTAAAGACTTTAAAAAACTAAACGAATAAAATAATTTCACATTTCAAAGTAGGTGCTTTTGCTCCGTGGTGCTAAGTATAGCGTAGATTCTATGCTTTAAAGATTCTGTGCTATACTTAGCACCGCTATACTATACCATAGAAGAATAGTTCAGAATGTTTAATAAGTTAATTCTTTCTAGTTTATTAAACTTTTTTTGAATGGGTGACAAACGAGCACACAGTCCACCTGATGGTAAGTGGTTGCTGTGGCTCATAGACATCTATATCTATCCTCGTTTGCGAATCAAAATGCAGATGCGTTGTCACCTGTGAGGACTAAGATGGAATGCCCCTTTTCCAGTAAAAAGGGTATCCGGTTCTCTACACTCACCATACGAAACACAGCAGCGTTAAGCTGCTATTTTACGAAACGCAGCAGCGTTAAGCTGGTATTCTGTGTGAGCGTGGTCCTTCCCCGGGCGAGCCGACCCATTCATGCTACAACTATACCTACTACTAATATAGCTGCAGCATGGCTCTACCACGTAAGAAAACATGCTTTAATTCCTCCCTCAACATTCCACCATCGGACAACCAGGCAGTTGGCGGTTCTTCACACCTTTATTGTCGATATCGGTTCTAATGCGTGGAGCATTAGAACCAAACAATAGTTTATTAGTCTATCGTATCGCACAGCAAAGGAGTGGAATAATTTGCCGGCGTCTATCTTTCCGTCCAAACACAATCTGGGCGTCTTCAAGACAAGAGTGTATAAGCTTTTGTTACGCTAAGACCGTGCGATTTACCATGTATGGCTGCATCACCACTTACCACCAGGTGGGATTGTGGTCAAGCACTGGTTTATAATAAGTAAAAAAAAAATCGGGGGTATAATTCTGATATCGCGGATAATTTAGAACACAGATAAAATATCTTATTAACTGTCAATGTCAATCTTTGTCTGATAGCCGTGTATATCAGATTTGTTCTGATTCAAAACAAAATCTCGAACGAGCAACAAAAATATTTATTTATATCGTTGTATGTTATGAATTGCCTGATGATATGGTCTGAAAGAAGATGTAGTGACAAAAATTGAGAAAGGTATGCTGAGATGGTTTCGCCATGTTGAGAGAATGAATGAAGAACGATTGACGAAAAAAGTGTATAAGGCGAGTGTAAATGAAAGTGCTGGAAGGGGTAGACCTAGGCGGACATTTCTAGACCAAATCAGGGACGTCTTGAAAAAATGCCAGGTCAAGAGTACCCTAAACCGTAGAGCGTGTATGAAGGGAATAATGAAAGTGGACGAAGTGAAACATGTATGTAAGAATCGTTGCAAGTGGAAAGAAGTGGTCTCTGCCTACCCCTACGGGAAAGAGGCGTGATTATAAGTATGTATGTATGTATGTAATGATATGATGATTTACTAAATTAACACGAATATTACACATTGAATTAAATTTGTTTTAAGATGAAATCGCTCATGGCTACGGGGGACTGAGGTGTTTAAGTCCTCAGGGGTGACAACGCATCAGCACTTTGGTTTCAAATTGCGAATAGATCTTATAGTATCTATAAGCCAAAACATCCACTTAACATCAGGTGGACTGTGTGCTCATTTGTCACTTTTCCTTCTATAAAAAAAATCTTAAAGGATGATAACTGTGGGCAGCTCTTTCAAAAACCATATGCTGGCTCATTCTTGAAACGGTTTACGTGTAAGGTTTACGTGGCATTAAAATCTAATGATGATGATATCGATATATAACTTCACTTATGTAAGTATTAAGTCTTTCACTTAGTATATTTACGTTAACCGCGATTATAAAACAAGACATAACGTAAGTTATTAGTTAAGTTACTCGGTCGTGGCGGAAGTTCATTCAGCACACATCATTCCAACTTACCGCAAAAACCGGCCGCACACACGTTGACAAATGACCTGGGTTACAGCGCCGTAAGATCACTTTCTTTCTATGATTATTTAATTTGTAATGACGTATATTCTGAAGAATACATATAAGCATATGATAAGTATAACAGAATAGTATATATTTACTATATCTAATATATTAAAATATTTTTTGTTTGTACGTATTTTATGCTCTGCCATACAGTTCATCAGATTACGCTAAAACTTTGTCAACTTATTGCTTGCACTGGTGAGAAGGTTATAGGCATAGTACAATTAACTTACACAAGGTGGCGCGTGTATCGTATCAACAAATTTATTTGAAAGTTATATATCTCTCAATTTCAATGAATGTACTATCATT